CTGTATGTGTGTTTCCGAGACACAGTATACATCAATCGTACGAGATTCTAGGGTTTTAGCCAACGAGGCCTGCTGGCCTCGTTGTGTAGTAAATTAAAGTTATGTTTACACTTTAAAATTAAACTGCATCATTGCACCATTTCATCTTGTGTGAGAAAAAGTTGTTGTAATTTATCTGTCAACGAATTTATTACTCTATATAATATTTGACATTTTAAATACTTATTTCATTCTTTGTACTTTGAACTTTTCTTTCATAGAACACTCAGGTATCCGTGTTTGAATTCAATATTAGATATATTGGTGGCTTGCTGTCTGCTTACACGTTCAGTAGAAAACCTGTAGGTTTATTTTAAATATGAAAGTTATTTTCCACATTGATGTCAGGTATAAAAATACTATTACTATCTTGTAAAATAGTTACATTTTTTGTTCGTAGGAGTTTTTATGGAGGTTGGTTTGGTCTGTATGTGGTTTTCCTTGCAGATTGATGTCATCTAGAGTACCATTAAAAATTATTGAGCACTGAAGAGTTGTTTCATCCCAGCCTGAAACTCCTCAGTTGGACGCACACACTATTCTACTAAGTGGCCGAACCCACTAAGTCCTGAAATATTAGAGCTTATAACGTGCAGTCATGTCGGTAGTGAAACAGTTGTCACCAGCAGCATTGGATAGCCATCGTTTTAGATTTCGAATTACAGCAGTTGTTACTAAACGTTTTACGAATTTTGTGAAACATCATTTACAAATCGAACTAACCTCTCCATAAAGTCTCATTAAATTAGTTACTGTGTGGTGGAACGTGGTGTCGATTTCGCAACAGTTGTCAGACAGAGTGAACAATTTCAGTGCATCGAAAGCACGGCATTGGCAGAAAACTTGGAGGCCAGTCGCGAAAACAGTTCAGATTGCAGAACACAACGAAAGATGAGAATGAACAAATGAAGATTATATATATGTGCTATGTAAATACTTTGTAACTTCTCTCTATAAATGTGCATGACTCCTGCCTATTGTCGTGTTTTTTCAATTTTATCTTCACGGCACGAATTAGCTTCAAGATAGTTTTATCAACATTCTACTACGACGCTGTCGTCTATGCAGTCATGTTATGATTGCTTTCTGTTGGAGTTATCTACTAACAATGACATTAAATAACAGTTACAGTGTATCATGAACTCGCTGGAGTTTATTTTTTACCCCACACTGGTACACAATAATCATTATCTAACAATGAGTATCAAGTATTGATGGAAAACAATCGCAAATTTTGTATTCCAATTAAAATTATTTATTTCCTACTCTTCAAATTTCATGTTCTTACGTATTCATTATTTAGCTCACGTTACTCGCTCTTACTGTTTTATCGTTTTGCACTTGTTTGCAGATTTATTTGTTTAGAAGTAGATTGAAGGTGGTAGGGATATCATAAGTCAAATGTAATTAAAGAAATGAGTTGATTTCAATTAATTAGTAAGTGCACTGAAGGAATATATATACTAGTCAATACATTTAAGTAATAAGGTGTATATTTATACATTCATCAATTGAACTTTTTACAGATTTTGTACTGTTCAATAGTAAAACATAAAAACTGTTACCCAATGCTTTCTAATTTTTTATACTGATAATAGTAAGTCTTCAGTAATCCCCGGTTCACCATATCAGTTACTTTCATATTGTACAAACTCCTTACAAAAACTACCTTAATTCGTAATAATAATTATTATGACGTACTTCTTTACTCGTGATTAACCTCAGAGTGGGATTTCTCAATGGTCCTACTTGGCCCTTTAGTTTAATTGAATAAGTTTAAAAATCGTATGTCTTATACATAACCATATACGTCTATTGTGTCTTTCCAGTCGAGTGTTTCTCGTATACATGATTTTCAATTAGTAATTATCATGAATACCAAAGTACGTATAATTTATTTATCTAATACGTTGAGATGTAAATGTATTCATATTTGTACACGTTATTTTTCAAAAGTGATTACTATCCATTTTAAAGTCATATTATACTGGTTTACATAATAAATCACTAATTGTACGCGACTGCTTCTCAAAATTATTCAGTCTCCTGTGTCCTAACTACTTTTCGTTGATAATATCTACTGACTGTTTGAGTGCTTATTGTGTAATTGGAAATAAACCAAATCAGTAGCTTAAAATGTTATCAAAACAAGATATTGTCATTCATAGTCGTCTAAATGTTAAACATTACACTTCATATCGGTTGTCATAACATAAGTTCTACATTCGTGTGATTCCTTAAAAAAGTTATTCTCACTAATTTTAGGTGATGTTATTGTGAGTTGCCTTCTCTCTCTGTCAACATACTTTCATAAAACTGTTTTGTTTCACATTTGTTTTTTTTCTATCCAAGTGTTGTGATTTCTCCGATGCGAAATTCAAAGTTCTTTAGAATAATATGTAAAACAATTTTCTAACTGTACTATAAGCGGTCAAGGTTATTCGTGACAAAATTATCATAAATAATCATTATTGATTCATCTTGGAAAAAATTAGTGATATTTGTTTTCATGATAGAATGTTGTCATAACATACACTAAGTAATTCATAAAATTTTATCGACTAAAGAATAACAAACCTAAACTTTCATAAAATAGTACTTTCCACTCTATAACAAAGGCTGAAAAGGACTGGACTTGTCATCACAAACAAAGTATTCTTCGCTCTAAATAAAGGTATGAAACCGTCAATACGAAGAACATATGCATTTCGTCCATCAAAGTGCCTTTCATTCACCATTACTTACTTACTTACTTACGCCTGTTACTCCCAATGGAGCATAGGCCGCCGACCAGTATTCTCCAACCCACTCTGTCCTGGGCCTTCTTTTCTAGTTCCATCCAATTCTTGTTCATTTTTCTCATATCTTTCTCCATTTCCCGTCGTAATGTATTCTTTGGTCTTCCTCTCCTCCTTCGGCCTTGAGGATTCCATGTGAGGGCTTGTCTTGTGACGCAGTTCGGTGCTTTCCTCAATGTGTGTCCTATCCACTTCCAGCGCTTCTTCCTGATTTCTTCCTCCACTGGGATCTGATTTATTCTTCATTCACCATTACTGTTCTTTATTGTACTCTGTAAAAGTGATCCACCAAACATTAGACTTTCTAAAATTTTCGTGCTTAACACAAATTATGTTTCCACTTTTTACTCAGTGGACTAAATATACTATGAACTCCCAACGATACTAATATATCTATCATTTTATCCCGCTCATTTGTCGATATGTCTTCTGTGATTCAAACTAAACTTTTTGAAATGAAAAATATATGCACTGTTATCCTTCTTACTCTTTATTCTCAGTAGTATAATAAATTAGACAAGCTTTTTGTTTTTACATAAACAAGTAGTATGATTTGCATAAAATAAATAATTTGACTAAATCTAAACCAATCCTTTCACTGGGATTTTGATTTGTTTATAATCGATCATTCAGATTGTAGAATGAAATCCTCTCCCTACTCTCACAACTGATCATATAACAATTCTTAACTAAATAATTCATTTTGCCATTTTAAATTCATCTCGAAATGCTATTCATTTTGTTTGTTTGTTTTGTACCTTTTAATCATAAATATTATCGTGGTTGATCGATTATTTATTTGTTTGTGCGTGTCTATCTTAATAAACATGTTATTACTATGATACACGTTGTTTATTCGTTCTGTTTTATCTCATTTTCTTTATAACAAATTATCTTTACTAGTCTATTATTAGTTTGTAATAAGAAATTTTTTTTGAATGGGGAGTTCATTTCTTAGGAATACTCAATATTAATAAGTCAATTATAAGTATATATATATATATATATATATATATATATATATATATATATATAACTACTCACAGTCAGCACGTGGTTGAATTGTATTACGGAGAATTGACTTTATCACTTGACGGTCAACTTCAAAATGTATTCTACTCATTATTGTTCATTGCTATGTGAATACAATTTTTACTAAGGAAATAGTAACTGGTTGTTTATAACCCTTGATTTCAGTACAAATGTTTTTATGTGGCTATTACAGTTGTTCAGTATTCTCGACTTACGATGAAAACCGCTAAAATGTAATATACACACATCTACAACACAGATGTTCATTTCACTGCACTACTATTTCTCAGCATATTAATATATGAGCAGTTCGATACATTTTATCCTAATTTGTTTATATCAATCTCGATAACTTCAGTTTAAAGGTGCATACATTAAATATTAATATTTACGCCATAACTTTTGTCCCCGAAACTACAGTCGCATTTAGTCTAAGTAAATTCCAAATACTTAGACAAAAATCTGTGTTTAATAAATAATGTCATTCAAAAGTAAACAATATATTTTGTTATAGTTATAATTATACTTTAATTAGCTCAATTGAATTTTAACTAGGCTACTGCGTTGTATATGATAATTTTCATAAATCTTCGAGTTCATCACACCAACTTTTACAACTCAATAGTCTAGTCATTTCGAACACTGATTATTTTGTAGTTTTACACCACATATTGATTTCATTGAGACAAACATGGAATATTAGAAAAAATAAATGTCTCATTCTAACATAAGGCTTCGAAGCCCTGAACCAAGGCATCCAGGTCTCACAGCAATCGCTTTACCTACAGATCATTGAATTGGAAACAAGTGGTTTAAATTTTTAACTTCAGTCATTTGACAAAGTTACATGTCCATCATTAATTGTCATCGGTAGCATTTATCTCGTGCTGCACTTGACTATTTGAATTTTCAAGTTTAATGAATTCTATGAAGGTAAAATGTACCTTTAGGCCCTGAAATCATTCTCTGTAAAAAACACTTTCTGTAAACATCAATGAATTATTGTTTTATGAACATTAATTTTCATAAATGGCTTTTACATTTTCATTCATAATAAGTGTGTTGTTTGTTTATTCTTTATATTTATGGCCTATATTCATTGTTGTTTTGTTTTGTTTCTTCTTACTTCAGATTTTACTGACCAAAGCGGTTGAACTTGCTCAACGTTTATTACCTGCATTTGATACACCTAGTGGGATTCCAATGAGTTTAATCAATTTGAAAACGTAAATGACTTTTTTTTTCTACTTTTACCAAGTGAAAATATTGTTTATTAGTGGTAAACATGAGTGTGTGTGCCTTATCGTTTTAACATTCAACTCTTTGTTATGTTGTATGCTTTGTTTGAAATATGCTGATGAGTGATTCAATTTTTACGACCTTATAGTTGAGTTTGTAGACACACCTGTTTACTTTTCCGTTTCAATCCATTTAATCCAGTTCATCTTTTAAAATTAGTTTTATGACATTTTATCGCAGTTGTACTTTCCTTAAGACATTGTAATTATACACATCTGTAGATTTTTCAATCGAGCTCACACACTTAACTTGACTGAATTTAATACTGAATGGAACAATTTTATTCGGTGGTTTAGTTCAAATTGCTCATGGTTGTCGTATTATGTGTCAGTAGTGTGAATAAAATTTATTTCTCTTTTAACCCAAGCTAACCATTCTGTAGAAGTTATTGTCGCTCTTAAAATAAGTCATCATATAGGTGGAATTTTGTTCTGTGAGCTGGATAGTTTGAATATGGAGCTCCTACCTAAAGTTTGGTCTGACGATGTTGTTCAGAAGAACAATAAAAACGCTACGAACAAACCATCCAGTTTAGAGAACAAAATTCTACCTAAATCAGCCGCCTGAGCTAAACATCTCCACGTCATCATTTGTAGCAGGTAAAAGTTTTGGAGTACTTAACATACTGCTAAATAATTGAGTTACAAATTACAACTTTACGTAAATGCCCGATTGTTACATTTTTTTCAGACAAAAACAAAAGTTTCACATTTAGTGCATTAGCAGAGTTGTATTCTTAATTTTAGTAATAATGCACACTAGGTTTAATTAACTAACCGTAAAAATATGCTGTTTGTTTTTCTGTAATATCGATCATGGTGTATATTTTTTCTTAAATCTAGTCCATGTACGTATTTTAGATCAATGTTATTTTGCATAAGTTTTCATGTCTGTTTATCTACATCTGTATAAAACAAATTTGCACTTTAAACCTCTTATCCTTGCATCCTTTATCAAAATACATATATTTATATTTACTTATTTATTTAAATATCTTCTTCAGTAATATTTTTAACGAGTTTTACTAATTAAAATGTTATATGAGTTTATACTGTATTAAAGGATAATCATGATTAATTACATGTAGTTGACCTCATTTTCTATGAGAATATGAATGTGCTGTTCCATTACGTCTGTGTGTGCGTATATGAACAAATACATCAGTTTGCTTTTACCTGGTAGTCAGTCCTATCTACTCTATTAGTTGTGTTTATTTTCGTTCTTGTGTTGTTTTATGTTATCAGATAATTCAATGTGTTCAATATCACCTGAGAAATGAACCACTTCACGCCATTTTTTGTTAATCTTGTTTATTTAAAAAGACATTTATATAAATTATTGGTCTCCAGATTTTAAATGAAAGTTTGTTTTGTCATAATGACAAATATAGTGTATATAGTTAGTAATTAAGTTTCTGGATATCTTAAATGTTCAGTTAATCGAATTTATAAATCTTATCGTAGTTAGTAAACATTTGTATTTAAATCGATGCACATTTTTGTCCTGTCAAATTATGTTTGAGATTGAATCATAATACTCTTAGTACCTGCTGTTGTTGGATACTTTTAGGCACTAAGTAATGTATTGGCTTAGTAGTCAAAACATTCATGTTTCAATAATTGAATGACGGGTTCGAAACCTGTTTTACTTAATTTAATTTCAAGAGATAGACAGTTACATAAAGCATTTTGCTGAAAGCCGAGTATTTTTCTTAATTTTTTGGGTTGCAATTCATTTACTTAGTTCAAACGTACTCGATATTGAGACGTAATGTTTATATAATAGTTACTCATATTATACGAACCGAATTAGCCAGTCAATAATAATGTTTTGTAATCATTTTGCAATTCCTATCAAGTCGTTTTATTCTTTAATTATTTACATCGTTGGTTTGACTGCAGTTACTAAGCCTGCAGATTTGTTGATATCTTTGGACAATATATCAATATGAATTTATTTGCAGTTAACTGAATCAACGGTTAACACTATTTCCACAAAACTCATCCGTTTCATCTAGTGCCCACAAATCTTGCTGTATTTAAAGTAATGTATGTGTCAAACACTAAACACACGTTTAACATAAAAAGTAATCTAAATAACTCTCATCTTGTTTATTCCTTTAAAAATTATTCGAAAGAGCTTATCAGACTATTGATTAAAATGTTTATCATGTATTGATTCGATTATAGTTGTTTCAAATAATCTCAGAAAGACCACATATATTGATGGTCCCTTGCTCTTCATACTTCTGTGTGGAGCTATTTAAATAAAACTAATTCTGTTTGCAAAAGTGAAAATAAGGATTATTTCGCTAAATACTTCATTCTCTTGTTCTGCCTACACTTAAACTATTAAGAAAAATTTTCCATCTAATATGACCTTATAACTATTCTTTTGTTATGAATTACTTTAGGGGAGATAAGCGGAATTTTGTCTGGGCAAATGGTCGGTGTTCAATTCTATCAGAGTTTGGTACATTACATATGGAATTTAAATATCTTTCTGAATTAACTGGTAATCCAGTCTATTCAGAAAAGGTTAGTTTTCAAGTAGTTTGCTTACTTTTTATATAAAATAATAGTGGGAACTGCTTTACCCCCCCCCCACTATAACTTGTTGCCGATTGACCTAGTGTTGCATAAGTGTGCTAGAAAAAAAACAGTTTAATCACTACAGTATACAATTGACGTAATTTTCAAAAACGCATTAATAAGATCCACAACATCTTTGGTTTTGTAAAGTCATCCTGTGTTAAATGTTAACTATATGATCTCAGTCCATATAATTTTTTTTTACCATCACGCTAACCCGATTACTAGGTAGAATCTGATCAGCTCTATGTTGAATACCTGTCAGAAATTGATGAAGGACCAAAAGTACTTAGATAATAATATCAAATGATTGCATATGAGATGAATCATGAGTTTTTTCAAGGCTAAAAATTACTCTTCGTTGATTATTGTCGAACCTGTTTTCAAAACATTCTGTTCATCAGTCCAATTTATGATTCTGTGCGATCTGGAAGTAGTTAGTTAGTTGCTATTCTTCGCCTTCTAAGATACAAGACCTAACTTACTTCAGGATTATTGAATTATCGATCAGTCACAGTTGAATTCACAATATCTTTGTAAAAGTGATTTTTTTTTAATAAAAAATATTAATATAGATTTGTTTTGTATTTTGAAACTATATTAGTATTTTAAACTCTTGAATGCTATTTTTTTCACTACACATGATCTAATTTACTAGGGGAATGAAAGTATTCCATTCACATCAATAGTAAAGAGTTTATAATTGTGCCTTGTACACTAAGTATTTTTTTAATTGCTAAACTGCATTCCAAGTACAGCTTACATTCATATGACTGATTTTTCTTAAGTTTATTCGATTTACTTTCTTTATTTTTTTCATTCTCAAGTAATCTACCCTGGGTTGTTTTAATTTAATGGGAATATAATCAAATTAATATTATTTCTATGCCAGAACACACATTTCTCATTGTGTTGTTGATATTTAAGTAATCGATTGATAAAATAATAATAACTACTTTTTTATAGTTGGCATAACGCTAAGTTTTGCTTTTACTGTGAAAACAGTAGAACACCAATATTTAGTCCTTTTTTTCTAGCTAACTAGTAAAATTGTTAAATTTCTAGCTGTCTGTTTTCATTCACTTGGTATTACTTACTTGAATCTTTCCATTAATGTTTATTACTGCAGTCTATCAGTCTCTTATTGGCATATATGCATCCTATGTGGATTTCCTCGATATTGTCTTAAGTCACAAGCATTATAAGCAAAGATGGATAGTGGCTGGCAGTTGAATCCAGGTTGTGCGTTCCGTCTTATTTGGAACTCGTCAGCTTGATGTACCTGAATCTCAGAGTGGCCACTTGCCTGTGGCTATCGGGACTCTGCATCTTAGTAGATAACGCGATGGTGTTTGAAGCGAGCGGTACTGAGTTCGAGTCTCAGAGTGCACATCAACTTTGACATGCAGGTACATCCAGCTGACGAGTCCAAAATAGCCACTATCTATCTCTTCTTATTAAGTCTGTTTTCTCCAAAATAGGTTATATGACAAGTTGATACATAGTATCTGTTTGCAAAAATATGATCATTTTTATTCGAATAAAAGTGTCTACTTTCACAAGTGTAAAATACAGTAACAATCGATTATAATCATCTTATTCACTCGAAATCTGTAGTAGTCCATGTTAATATTTCTTTTAAATAGAAAGATTAATTGACTATATATAATTTTTTTAGTTTATTGACACGCATCTATACATCAGTAGTATTGAATAAATGACTTCTTTTATGAACTGAAAAATAGTCTTTATATTATCAGTTAATTCATGTGTATCATTTCAATCTATAAATAAAGGGTAGCATAGTTGACACAGTGGTTGTATCCTTTCATAATCAAAAATTGTTAATTATAATAACGGTTATTTAGATGTATATTGTAGTATTTTGTATAGTTTTAAGACCAATAAAACTCATATCATAGGTCAAGAATCACTTAAAACTAGGTAGAAAGAAGCAGCTATCCAACTGCTGTTATTCTTATTCATGCAACCTTAACATTGTACAATCCAAATTTCATACGTCAGATTTCATAGTGAGCATAATAACTTCTTTAAAATGATGTGTCGGAATCCAGTAATAGTTCAAGCTTTTCTACTTCATTCTATTGATGATACTGCATAATCTTAATCCGATGCAGTCAGTGATAACTATCTTATTGTAATGACAGTCAGTCATATATACATAGCTTAAAATCTAGCACATGTGCATGTCATCTTAAGTTGCCACACCTCATTAACACGATAAGATGAAATAGTTGCGGCAAATCCCAGAGTAATTGATGTAGTAACAATATTAGTGGTAATAGAAAAGATTAGGCATCGAAAGAACTATTCGAGAAAAATTATGACTTCATGAAATCGGAAACAAATTTATAAAGTGGCTTAGGAACCTAAAATCTACAGAAAGACAATGTGATTGCATTCGCTTCATTGCGGGCGATTTTAAGCCATGTCACCTAAAGTCCCTGAAAAGTAGTTTCTATCATTAAACAGACCCCAACCAGATAGCCCAACATCCGATGTCTTCATTAATTGGTATCGTGTCTTAGTTTGACCACTCTTAGCTCTCTTCCAACCTACCGTTAAGCTAGCTGTTATCGCAGTAGTTGGTGATTAGGCTTATGTAATACATGTCCTGACCATCTCACCCGATAAATATTCACTACCTTATGAATGGATTTGTGATCTTCACCCAATACTCTGTGTCTAGTACCTCGTCATTCCTCACTATATGACCCAATATACGCCAGGAATGCTTCAAATGTATCTACGACAAATACTGGTAACTTAAGAATATCCTCTACTTTTATAGGTCACGTTTCATAGGTATCAAGTTAAACAGAGCAAATCTCGCCACTATATACTCGTCCTTTGGTTTGCAGATGAACATTTCGCTTACGCCACAAGTTGACATAGTCAGCTGGTCTTTCTAAATGTGTCGTGAGACTTCATCAGACACCAACCAATTTGGGTTTGATGAAACTTCCAAGATGAGTTAAATGACTGGCACTCTCACCTTCACTCCTTATTAGTTCAGCAGTTTACGTAGACCAGTCCTAAAGTAATATTTCCCATTTAGAGATACGATATAAAATTCCCTATGTATGTTTGTGTTGTGAATATCTTGAACGATGTTTAATAGTTAGTGTATAGATCAATCCAAAAGTTATGTACGACACTATGCCTGTACGGAAGATAAACTTTTCGTTATTTTTTTTCAAAAGTGAGAAAGTCACTTTTCTTGTCATCATTTTGTGTAAATAAGAAGTTGAAAATAGTGTAAAAATTGTTTGTGGCTTGGTACGCATCTTTTGTTTTGTATAAAACTTTATGTTTTGTTGTTTTTTGTCATAGTTTTTGTGTAGTAGTAACCAGAATGCACATGCAGTATAAAGTTCTTATCAGATAAAAAGAAAACAGAGAAACAAATCATACGCAGAATTTATACGAAAATGTCCATTTCCGGTAGTCCTTTATTAGAATGTAAGGGTTATAAATAACACAATACTCCACACTTGACTGGAATTCACTGTTAGTCTTAAAAATGCCGACTACCTAAGCTAATGACAACATTTGTTTTACTATGTTCAATATTTGATGTAGAATCCAGTTTTACGCTCATATAGCAACAAATCATCAGTAGTTTACTGACTGTCAGAATAATTCATAATAGGATCTCAATTGTGGTTTTTTTTAATGATTGGATAAATTATACAATAAAATTAAATTCATTATTTAAAATAATCTAAACATGAACTGGTGCATAAATCTATTATCTTACTCTGGTTAGTTAGTCAAATAACCTTTAGGCTATATTCCTATTGTAGTAGTGATCAACTCTTTAGCTGTCTCGCAGGAAGTGAAATTCATATTCTCATTATAAAAAACAAACACCGACTAAAATGTAATGAACATAATAATAATAAAGCGAAATTCAGTTGAGAAGAAAAGTACTAAATCGGTTGATTATCAGAACTGACTATAAAAGAATAAAGATGACAAAATATAAGTAGATGAAATCCAATTTTTAATTTTGAATGCTACATATATATCGACTTAGTGGCCTGTACTAATTAAGGATGCGACGATAAAGTTTATGGTTCCCTATCTTCAATCGTGAAAGTTGATGTCAATCAGTCATAATCAACATAGATCAAGGCATAAGCATGTGTTAGCTCAAACTGCTATACCACATTAGCAAGATGAATCGTAAATAAATCGATTGACAATGAAAAATATGGTTCAGAAAGACAAAATGGGAAGTTATGTATAAAGTAATACAAAGACTCGAAATGTTAAGTAAAATATAGAATAGATAGACTTTCACCATTACAACTGATTATGGACGATCACGCGACGTTTCCAACCAATGATCTGAAGTATATCAGTCAGTAAGAAAAAGCATAAAGTTTTAATGTCATTGATCAAGTTCGAAGTAAAGACAAACAAAATAAGCATACAAATAACGTCTATTCATAGCCGACCATAGCCAATCATATTCCTGGTCAACATAACAAGCTAATAGTCAGCTGTGGAGACGCTTTAATAGCCCATATGTTTTTAAAGTTCATACTGATGATGTGGAGAAAATAATGAAAGCTTCACCACCATCCTGCTCAGGGAAAATATCACAATTTCATTGTGTATATTACAGTAACTGAATCAGTAGCACTAAATATATTTCTTATGTAATCTGTCTTGACAATCGACTAAACATTCTTCTTCTTGCATTCTATCTTATAATTACTGTGTTAGTTTGTCTCCTATAATTTAATTCCCATTGGTTTTTATATTCAAATATGAAACTATGTACTAGTATCAGTAATCATCTCGTAACACAAAAGAACTTTGAAAGAAATGTGTAGGATCTTTAATAAGAATAATAACATCAACTCTGAAATGCATGTATATCCATTTAAAGAGTCCCAAATAAGATGAAACGCGCGTCCTGGATTCCACTGCCAGCCACTATCCATCTTTGCTTATAATGCTTGTGACTTAGGGCAATATCGAGGCAATGCACATATGCCAATAAGAGACTGATTGATCGCAGTCCTAAACATTAATTGGAAAATTTAAACATCCAATATAAAAGTGAACTAAGATAGATGTTCGTAAATGATTTTCATATACTTCCGACCATTTCTATAATAAAGTTTTGATAAGTAATACAAATCTACAGAATCAGAATTTTTTTTACAAAATAAAAGTCTGTATAAAAATGAACTTTTCTCAACTGAAATTATTGCATATAAAATTTCGTAATCATCTTTTTTGTGCTCTCTATATGTTTTCATAATGTTCAGAAAAGTGATTTTCCTTTTGACACGTTTAATTATGATTGACTGCATATAAAATGATAACATTGAAGATTATCAAATAATTTTTAAATAAAAGTACAGTGAGTTAGTGGTAGTTAGATATGATAAACACAATAATCTCTATTGGCCTATTTTATGTAGTCTTCTATTTACAATAACTACAAATATAAAATAATATAACAAAATACAAGGTATAACAAGTTATTAAAATGAATAAGATCAATCTATTATGAAATAGGTAGATAAGTATAACAAAATCCTAACAATTGTTAATTTTGTTTTTGCTTTTGCAACCAGTCAGTAGTTTACAGATTTAACCCATACCCTCAACTAATTTCGGTTTGGGTTACTGTGTACAGTATGACACTAACCCAAAGCTGAGAAAACTTGGTTAGCTTTTTTTCAATGAAACGAAAGTTAATAACTACACCACTTCTCCATGTATTTATAAGGATACGTCTGTACTACTGATCTCATCTTCTATTCTCACTGTCATTATATAAAAATGCCAACAGTTGTAATCATCTTAGATACTATATAGCATTACATGTAATTAGTATATGATATTGCAGCTAACAGTTCTAGAGAATGAGAGTTTTAGAAAGTTAATTTTTCTAAATCAGTGAAATATCTCTATTAGTGTTCCAATAATAATAATAACTTATTTAATAGTCTACATACACATAAACTCCTAGATATTAATTCCTTAACTAGATGAAACGCTATCAAAATAGATTTACATAATCTTTATTATAATTTTGTTTTCTACCCACGATCTTGTCTTCATATTAGGTTGATGCTATTCGTAAGGTTTTGGAAGAAGTGAACAAGCCTAATGGATTATTTTTTAATTTTATGGATCCCAATACAAAATCATGGTGTGGTAATGAAGCTGGTCTCTCTGCATTAGGTGATTCATTTTATGAATATTTATTAAAAGAATGGATTCGTACTGATCATAAAGATGTGAAAGCTCTTGAATTATACAAATCTAGTTTAGAATCATTCTTAAAAGTTGGCTTATTTCATAAAAGTCCTCAACATAATTTACTTTATGTTGGCAACTATAAATATGGCACTATTTCCAATTCAATGGATCATTTGGCTTGTTTTGTTGGTAAGTGTCAACTGGTTTTTTATTTATTTACCGATTATCACTTGAATATTAACAAATGTTAAATATTTGTTAAATCACTCCGATTCTCCTTCACATTTAGCAGTGGTTATCTTATAGTCTATAACCTGAATTCAGTCACCTCACTACTCACCAGGTTTAGCTTTCAACTATTTCTCTTCGTTCCCGAGACCGGAAATATACATGCGAGGTTGGTACTTTAACGATACAGACTTAAAATGATGAAATAACTAAAGAGCTTGATTTCTGAGGAATTAATAATGTTTTCAAGTAATAGAAGTTGAGACGGAACAGTCTTATTGCTATTAATGAGAATAAGGTTCTAAGATCGGTATACTAAGGATTTTGTACAGTGATATTTGTATGAGCTCAGTTCGTGTATTTATTTGATGGACTGATGTATATATGCAGGGATTTTAATATTGATACTTCGTGAATTAATGCTCTTTAATTTCTGCTTTTATGGTGTCGATTATTGTTAATTACTCTATTATCATTTTTATCATGTAGGCGGTATGCTCTCTCTCGGTGCATCAGATAAAAATGATCCATGGTTTCAACGTGGTGTTGAAATTACCGATACTTGTAGAAGAAGTTACGATAGTGCATCAACAGGTCTTGGTCCAGAAATATTTTCATTTACTGACCAATCTTCTGCGATTGCGATTACTCAATCTCATAAAGTGTATCTTCTTCGACCAGAAACGGTGGAATCATATTTCTATTTATGGCGACTTACTAAAGATCCAAAGTATCGTGTTTGGGCATGGGATGTAGCTCAGGTAGTTGTGGTGATTATTAAATTTTGCATAAATTATTAACTTTTTTTCGTCGTTTCTTCAAATTATCAGATGAAACATTTTCAAAGAGTGTGCTTATCTCAGCCTTATTTAAATGAACTCATCTCTAATCTAGTAATATCAGAAGACCATTGTAGCTTCTCGTAATGAATTACATATATGCCAAGCACAATGCGAATTTCATGAATATCATCATACATATTCTCCAAATGCTAAACTCGATAACTTAAAAGAACTTAAAAAACTATACAATAATTTTCAATCATAAAGTTATTTACTGCTAACATATCAGTATTGTTTGATTACATAATTTTAAATATATTGACAAGAAATACAAATGAGATATTCTGATAAATTTGAATAAAAAAACACTTATCTACCATGATTTAGTCATGCAATTATTTCGTTGTGGACTTTATTTTCTTTCCCTCATTTTCTGATAGAACGTATCAGAATTTTCTCTGTATTATTGTTCGATAGTAATTAGCCGATTGACTAAGCGAGTAGCTTAGTCATTAAAACACTTGGTTTTGACTCATTAAATCTGAACGTCGCACCATTTAATTCTGTCTAATCAATCGGGTAATATGATTAACCTTTACACGAATATTGTAAAAAAACCGAGTTCATATATCTTTAATTGACAAAAAACTGGAAATTATTATTATTATTCATTTATTTATTTGCTAACCACTTTGAACTTCATCAACCCTATGGCTTTGATAGGCACACAAAATCTTGGTTTTTAACTCTTACAGAATTATCATAAATCGGTAGCAGACAGTCTTATTTAAAATTATAAGTAGTAAATATTTGTTTAAATTAGTTTTTTCACGGTTAAATCCCTTGGAATATAAAATAGGATCTGTTTGTACATTCAATTACGAAATTCGAATACCTCATGAATATAATTCGTTCATGGTTGTATGCACCACTTTTTTTTAAGTGACTTATCAACTCTTGATTCGAAAGAGTTTAATAATCCCTTCAAGAGTTTTTGGTATTATGTATACTGTTATCCGTTCCAAACTGCAGCAATTGAAATATAAAAAAACTGGCTTCCACCTCCGTAGAGCTGATCTAATGTTTTAGATGTATACTTTATCTTACCAAATAATGTTACATTATATAAACACTTAAAGTGATTAAACTTCTTTGACAAGAAACCCTAAATCTTGGTTTTCTACTAGTTTTAGTACTAGGGAATGAAAGTAAATCGGTCTATGAGGTTGTGAATTTTCATGGACCGAGATAGTTGGGTCACGTATCACACATGCCCAACTACGGTTTACCACGGAAAACATTACTAACTAGTGTTGGGGACGGATGGAAGGAAGTTAGGTATGGCGAGACCAAATTTGGCATCATTCCACAAAGTCACTAACTTCTAGTCTGAGCCATGCTGGTAAATGCAGACTTCTCTGTTAAGGTCCGCTTAATTGTCGTAACCGTTGGTTGGAGACTGTTTGTGACATTGTTCAGAATCGATGAGAATGGTGTAGGTGTATACACTCTTTGTCTTCCCTTAAACCGTGAGATTGAAATTATTTTGTACCTTTCTTTCTACGATCTGATTTTTTCTCCCTGCATCATATCGTTATACGCAATCTTTTTTCATATATTTTACTACCATTGATATAGCTAGTCCTATGTATTTGTTTTTAATGTTGTTCTGCTAGTGAGGTATGACAACTTTGACTGATGCATATATGTGCCTGGTCCTACGTTGTAGCTGACTGGCTGGTACTAGTTAGAAAGGTGTACATCTAATTTTGATGCTGTCTGTAGGATTAGAACCAGCTTCACATCCTAAGACAACTGACCCGGTTATAAATCTCGTAGAGAGCACCAGTCCCCTTCGGATTCCGGAGTTTCCTGTTGACTACCTTCAACCAACCGAAATCTCGATAAAATTCACATGGTGTTGAGGCACCTATACTAACTGCCACATCGCAACTTTTTCAGTAAAATTTAAATATCATTTAAAGGACTAGGCACACACCAACCGAAATCTCGATAAAATTCACATGGTGTTGAGGCACCTATACTAACTGCCACATCGCAACTTTTTCAGTAAAATTTAAATATCATTTAAAGGACTAGGCACACATAGAAATAATCACTTCTTAGTGATCGATCATTTGTAATGACATTGATGAATATTTCTCCTTTGATCGTTTACTTTTAATCAGTTTATCGTTATTGATTTTTTCTATGTGTATATTATTTCAGGCTATTGAAAAGTATGCTCGTACAAATGCTGGCTATTCTGGTTTACATGACGTTTACTCTATTAACTCTACTTTAGATGATGTTCAGCAGTCATATTTCTTAGCAGAAACACTGAAATACCTTTATTTAATATTTTCGGAAGATACTTTATTACCACTTGATAGATGGGTGTTCAATTCTGAAGCGCATCCATTACCTATTCAAAATAAAGTCAAACTAATACCTGGCTAATCAGCTGGTATCATATTCCTAATGTTGATGATAAATTTAACTCGAATGTCCAAAATTTTGTTTTGTGCGAAATCGATATTTTCTTTCACCCCCTCCGGGTTGTTTTTCTTCTGTTTTTTCTCCTTGTAGATTCTATAACTAGGTGTTCTATTTTCTTTCTATCACAGTGTTTAAATGCTATTTGTGTTCAATTACAGAATGGAAGAAAAAAAGAGAAGTGTATATATACATATTTCAGGTGTATATAGAACTTGTTTTTTCTCTCGTCGTTTACTTTACAGCTAAGAATAATGTATGTAATTAAATGGGATTGTCTGTTTCACAACTTTCCAAGTAAAAACAAAGTAATTCCCAGCGAATCTCTCACGTTTCTTGTCACATTTTTCTTCAAAATGTTTTCAACTATCTCTGTTTTTTTCCTTTTTTATTTACATTGTATCTCTTTTTCAGTCAGACTGTGATAATTTTCTATCTAATTTCTTATAGAAATTAGATTATAGATAACGTTTTTTAATTCGGCGTTTGGTGTTCAGTATTCTTGTTCCTTTCCTTGATTCTTTTCTGATCTATACTATGTTATTCTGTCATCTAGTTTACGTTTAACCTCTTCACACTTTTCAATAGATTTCTTATTTTTCTCTAACAATAATGTCTGTTTTTTCCACTTTCAGTTGAGTTAATTTCTTCTGACTATAAACAATGCATATATATTTATATCTTATGTCTATATTTTTCTGCTCCGTGTAAATCTTTAAAGATTTTTATTAGTTTAATTGACCAACGTTGTCAGTCGTACGTTTTGTTTGTGAAACCATCTGTTACTTTGCTTCCAGATGTATATAAATATATATATAGTGGAACTTCGCTTTTGAATAGGTTAGTTTTTGTTGAACATAAATAGTACTACATTTGGCCCATTGAACCTTATTAATGGTAGTGGTTAGGGACTATAATATTGTTGTCAAATGCGTTGAATTAAACAATACATGAATCTAGCATGTATTAGTTTTCATCACATCCACTTATCTCATTAAAATTTTTCAAAGACTATAGATTGAATTGATGTATCTTAAGCCACCTACACTACTAACAATATATGTAATTACTAGGTTACTGTACTTTTTAACATGACTGATGGTTCATAGAAACCCCAACTTTCCTAAACCTCCATTAGAAGACTACGTGTATAGTCGTTATGTACGTAATATCATTCTGATTTACGAATAAAATTCCAAGTCACAGAGTACCACTGTTTGTTGAGTTGGTCACATTTTTATTACAAAACTGAATAACGTTTTTATAGATAGAGGTTTTTATCTTTAATCAGTAAAAAATTTCATAATTATTTATCAAATGACTTTATATTTCCAACAATAGTATCTTACTTTTAACTGACTCGGAATGGATTCCTTTTTATTAACTATGCGAACAAAATAAATTTCCATTTAGATATACTTTCAAACATCACTGAAGATTTGTGCTTATGGATTTTCTAATATCTATGTCATTAGGTTAAAAGTAATTTCTGCTGCGATCGCCTGTCTACACCAATAAAACACTACAGTAGTATAAATCTTGAAGTTGTTATGTTTAATTGTTACCATAATTAAACGAAGACATAAATACGACTCGGCTTTATGTTTGTTTTATATTGAGGGATGAATATTGTAACAGTTGCAACAGGTTGTCGAATCATTATTAATCATAACTTTTTCGTGCAATTACGGGGTAACTAGATTACTATGTCTATGTATTCCGTATATCATAAGCTTTCGCGCAACCCATAAATTACTACAATATGACTTATTATTCTTAATTTTTTCCTATTTATGGCTTACAAATTTCCATATTCACAGCCACCTGGCTCGTCAATGTACCGTTGTTATTTTCTATTTTATAGCATGACGCAGCCCACTATGTCTGTATGTAATTCACGTTTGTTAAAAATATAAGTATAGTAAGGGCTTGTTGTTGAGTTTTCTACTCAAGACATAACTCAGAATATTGAGAATGACGGCCCAATAGGGACTTAACTGCATCGGCTCAAGATCACTAGTGCTAGTAAGGCGTACAACTTGTCAAGTCGGAGACACTAGGCTATAGAGGCAATAGTAGACACAGAATGCGCAGCAATTAAAATTAGAATTGTGATTGCTGGCTTGCCACATGATATTAGTCAGTAATTTTAAAACATAATACTGTCTGGTCAGTCTTTAAAATATATAATGATATTGTACTCTAGTCTTCATACAAACAATTCATCACATTGTTTGTGTTCATACTATTATTCCAGAAAGATATGTGATTTATTTTATTGATTTATATTGCATAAAAACTGTCCCTAAATAACGAAAATAATTCGGATAGTTCTAAAACACTATGTGCATCCATAATTAGTGTTACTGGTTAATTAGTCAACATAAATATTGAATCTAAAAAACTTCTGTACTAGAGGAATGCGTTTTGACCACATTTATATAAGTTTTTCAAAATAATATTATGTCCGGCCTATAGATGTACTTATTAATATACTATAATTCATATTGTAAAGACAGTGTGTTGAAATACGTTTTTCATTTAAGTACTATTTGTTTATCTTCAGTTTGACCAAGGAATTTTGGCATTATAGATGCATTAAAGAATATTACCTGTTGATTATTTACAAGATTAATGTGGGCATCAAAGTTATCAAACTGATTATAGAGAATCCAATCCTTAATATTTATTACAAAACTTTGTGATATTCATAATGTATATTTAGTGTTGCTATTTGACAAACACATCAAAACTTCACTATGTGATTGAGAAGATATACTCACTTCACGATAAATAAATATTAAGAACTTTCAGTCAGATTTTTAATTACTATTTAAGATTACCACAGTTGTATGTATATTTTCTCCTCCCATTCACTGTAGAAACAAGTTTTGATCATATTGGAATTCATGTATCAAATATATAAATTGCGGAAAGAAAATGTATCACAGAAGATGAATTGTTTATAAACTTCTGTGAATATCAATAAATTGTAACTAGCTATTATTTAGATAAGTTTATTCCTAATGCTGACGAACTGAAAGAATATTTAAGATAAGTAAATGCTATGCTGGTTGGCGGCCTATGCTCCTCCACGAGAGGTAACAGGAGTAAGTAGGAAGTGAGGTAAAATGCTTCTAAGTGTTATATGTCGGGAACACTTTGGTATAACCCAAAATATACTGTTAAATAAGTGTTATCCTATCTATATTAAACAATACATGTTTTGTAACATAACTGATATTTAATGAGAATTTGTTATTTTATAGTAAAATAATTTTTTAGGAAGAATTCATTGTATACAAAATGTAATGAATAATTAGCTAAATCATTATACTTTTTATAGTAAAGAGATGAACGAATCATTGATGTAAATATGTTCAATAGGTAAATGGGATAAACCAATGCCATTTTAAATTAATCTTAAAAATAAATGTGTTATACATTTTTCGATATACAGTGATAATTCATTTTATTACACTAAAATCGATAATTCTTGACGAATCCTGTTTCCATAATATTAGAAACTAAGTAATGAAATTTCAAAATCACTGTACAGAATACGTTCTAAATAGTTACTTCAATGAACTTTCATTGAATGTTCCGAAATAAAGTTGGGATGAATACTGAAATTGTAAGTAGGTTCTGTAACATTTCAATAACTTCAGAAATATGTGCTTGACATATTCACAAACAACCTGCACAAATTGATGTTAGAAGACTTATTTTTTCTGGACTGAGATTATGTACTTTCCTCCCCCTACAGAAAAAAAATAATTACTCTCCATTTGTTATAGTACACCTCGTTTCATTACGGTTTTGATTGTTCAAAAGCTCGCTAAAAGTTCTGCTTTTCATCTTCCTCATCGTTGCACAATACCTCAATCTTTTGCACTGATTATTTCCCCTAATTCAGGTGATCACTAGTTTGAAAGTACAACAAATCAAAATTTCTTCTGCTTCCATTTATTCAGGAGGTCAATCGTATTCCTTCATGTCTTTGCATCATCTCTGTTTTATTAACAGTCGTCCCCTGAGTACTCGACTCACAATAAAATTATAGATTATGGACAAGCAAAAGTAACTCAACCTGAATAAAACAATGATTGACGCAGAATAAAAGGAATTTGTTTTTATTTCTTTAGTTCTCATAACAAGCTGTTTATAACAGTATTCGTATTGAAATATATCATAACATTTCTATATGTCTGAGCATGTTCCTACGAACCCGTGACTAAAATGTCCCACAGCTCGAAACAACGAAATAACTTGACATTTAATCGATAAGGGCCATATTGTCGACGTTCTTAAAACTGACATACAACGATAACGATTTGCTATAGGAATAGCTGTTAGAAAACTGAAACCGAATATATGAGTTCTGAAAGAAACATTTTTTTTTAATGAATAGAACAAAGCGAACGTTTCTACCGACCCTGAAATATCAGCGTTATTTTCCCAATCAAATAGGTGACAGACAATTGCACTGTTAAAAACTCCTAGGGCAGAGTTTTGCTCACATCTACAATAATTAAGACCAAAATGTCAACATGATATTTCCCAGTACAACACGTTGAAATGAGCGAGTCGAATGTTATTAATGCAATAAGATCATTGAATAATGAAATGAACATGAATTAATTGAAATATATGCCAGCAAACAATTTTATATTAATTAATAAACTCAAACTGTATGCTACAAGTGTTAAATATAAGAGTATCAGTGATCATTTTCCTTCACTACAATTAGCGCTAACATTTAATTTTACATATTTACATTTATTGAGTACATACTTTGTTGTCGTTATTGTTTGAGGAGATGGAAAGAATCACAGTCCCACCTATTGTTTTGCAACTTTCATTTATATTTTATGAGACAAGTAACCCAAAGTTGTGTAATTATATTTGGCTATTTTGTAGCTGTTCGCTTTATTTCTCCGATACACTCATTAGTTGTGTTATTCTGTATATTAAGAATTTGATCTGCACATTTTTCCAGCAGTGAAAGAATAAAATTGCGTAAAACGTTGACGAAACAGTTAGTAAACACAATTCCATTTTAATTTTTCTGTCTCTCTAGTACATCCTTTGGACAAGTGATTGGCGCTGTAAACAAGTATCTGAAAGTTTCTAAAAGTTACTTTTCAGAAATACGTTTATAAACATACTGCTATGATTTAATTGCGAAGAATTTTTTCAAGGTTAACAAAATGTCGTCATACATTCTTATAGCTATCAAAACTTATTAATTCATCAAAAAGTTGAACACAAGACCAAAATGAAATACTTATTTCAAAGAAATAATAGTAAATGCAATTTCTTTTTCTTATTATTTTACGAATAAAATATTTCGTAATCTACAATATTTATCAATTCATTCAGAGCATTTAGTTTTGACTACACTTAATAAATAGGAAGGGAGATCATTTTACTTGATTCCTTTCTGTGTTTATTAAATTATTTTACTATTCCTTTTCGAAGGTAAGGTTACATACAATTTAAGCAATAATTGACCAGAGTACTGTGAGTAATAACCTTTATTTTGATTGTAAATATCTTTATTATTAATCAAAACGCGTAGCAGTAATAACAGTTTATTGACTAACCTACTTGGATTATTCACAACTATTTCAATAATTCAAAATCCGATTAAACAGATATTTTGTATTAAGACGTACGGTCAATGTAAACGAGAAATTAACCCACGAGAAAAGATATATTAATGATAACAACCTGTGAATCAATGTTCATTAATCCACTGTTCAAAATCCTGAATTTTAGGTCCTCTATGACTTTTGTCCAAATATAATCAGTCGCACGTTGATTTGTGGGTCA